CCCCTGGATGACATCTTCTGACGGTTATAAGGCCACAGAAGCTCTCCTGAAGTTTTTGAAGAATACTCGCTTACAACATAGGCTCTAGTGTTCTAAAGTGAACTGAAGTGGTAAATGACGCTTGCTATTGAAACACTCACATCTACAATTATTGTTTTTTTATTTTTACTTTGTATCACTTTTTTATGTTCTCTTATACTTCCTTTATATCAATTTCGTTTTCTTACCTTTCTCTACTCCTTTCTATTTTTTCTTTGTTATTCCGTTCATTACACAGTGTAGCAAACCAGCACAAGGCGCTGGATGACATCACTGTTTTAATAGACGCCTACTTCTCTCTCTCTCTTTTGTTGGACCGGGCGTCAGCGGTGAAGTATACTTTGTTTCATCATCTGTTAAACAAAAACATTTTTTTTTCAGTAGCGTAGCATTAGCACTGCAACGAGACGCGCAATCGTCCGGATAATCTCATCGTCGTGAGGCGAGACTGGATTCCTTGACGGGGGCACTCGCTCAACGTACTTTTCGAACGTGGTGGGAATAAAGAGGGGCCAGTCATAACAATCACAACTTGCCGAAGAAAAAAAAAAGAAAAAAGGAGGAGAGTTTGTTATAAAAAAAACCCTCTAGCCGAGGCAAACCTCACATGTTTCGTCATGGACACCAAATTTAGATGCAGACACTCGCTTACCCGACCTTGCACAGCCTGTTTCTGAAATTCAACGCTGCCGTTCCATACGGCGCCACGGTGGAACGTCTTTTTAGCTTGGCTGGGGACGTCTTTAGGAAGAAAAGGGGAAAACGCTCCGATAATAAGTTTGAAAGTCAATTGCTCCTTCGAGCGAATAAACTATTTTGGGGAAAACGCAAGTCATAAAATGACTGCATTTATTTTAGGCTCGCAGGGTTTTTCACGCATCAAAACTGCTGTTCTCTTTGCTACCAAAAAATATAAAAAAGTAACTTCGAAAGTAACTTCAAAAGTAACTTGCTACTTTTTTACAGTAGTTAGTAGTTCATCAATTACTATTACAAATGTGTAATTCCTACTCTACTCCAATTACTTTTGGCGTCGATACTCGGTAACTTAACTACATTTTTCGAGTAATTTGTACATGTCTGTACAAATTACTCACTTGAGAACATTAAAATCCATTCGGCATACCTCTTCATAAATGCAGCTGGAATTTAACTGGGCCCAGATGCTTTTTTAGTTGTCTAGGTTAAGTAACATAGCAAAAATACCGTGAGCAGACACAGATAAATCGGACATGAGGATAAAAACCTGGAGGACGCTTAAGCTTTGCGTTTAAGAGTGGAACACGATCGCTTTATAGGGCCCCGTTCGCATCGCCTTTTCATTCGCTTCTCATGCTCTTCCTGCCAGTGAGCTGGAAGTGTGACGGACATGGCCCCATAAATAAAACAAATGACGGACATGGCCTAGTCATTAGCGTGTCTGGCTCGCAACCAAAGCGTCGTGGGTTCGAATCCCATCTAAAATTATTCAAATATTTCTTCGAGGATAAAGAATGAGTGTAAAAAGTGAAATTATTTGAGACATGCGGCGACCTTCATTTCGATATACATGTCAGGTTTTTTTTTTTTATAACTATCATTTCACGCGTTCCCACGCAATGTCATGTGGCTGTGACGTCATGACCATATCTACCAATCAGGATTTTCCCGTCACAACGCCGCCGACGCCGGCTTTTCTGCGACACGAGGTCATAAAAAAAAAGTTTTACATTATCTCGCGGGTGTCTCATATACAGACCATACAGAACCATTATTTTCTAGATATCAAATACTTCCCGTAAACGCGTATATGCATGATTATCGCTTACTCTGTACCCTTCGTTTCTCATCGCCAACACTCATATATTTTTTGTATTTTATTTCTGAACTTAGAGGAGAAACGTGAAGTAATATAAACACACGCCGTGTAGACACTTGGCTCCTTCCTCGGTGCCGCAAAAATTACAACCTCCAATCATTGCAGTACAAAGTACCGTACGTGTTAAATAAATATTTCACGAACAACATAAACATCTACACAATTGGCAAAAAAGACTTACGTACCTACTGTTTCAACTATTCATAACTAATTTTGTTCTTCTGGTACTTCAATGTTATGTGAACTTGTTTTATTTTTCTTATCCTGGTAAAGTGTTTTGTATTACGTTTGTTGTCCGAGCTGCTGCCATGTATAAGGGTAACCCAGACCCAGTCAAGCTGCTTTTAGCAGGCTTTTTTGTCTGGGGACGCCTCCAGTACTTCTGGAAAAATAAAGTTGTATTGTATTGTATTAACGCCACACGTTGATAGGCAGGATGCAGCGTTTGCGCGAATAGTAGGGACTGCAAATATCGGTTAACCTTGGTACATATATGTTCTCTGGGTTGTCTAGGATGACCATGTTTTTTATTTTTATTTTAATAATTACTGCACGTGAGGGAGACAACTAACACCAAAGTTTTTGAGGTTATAGACCGACACGCTGTTTGCAAACAAGCCCGCGTTTGCCCACTCGGTTTCTGCGCGTGCGTAGAAACCGAATTCGCGTGAAGCGAAGCGTCTCCGCATGCGCAGTGCCGTCGACAGCGCCACCGCAGCTGCGTGACGTCAAAGCCGCGTGTTGGTTTATAGGCCCCTTCCGGAATTCCGTGCCATCGGGTAACTCAAATGGCAGTTGAACTTTTACCGTACTAATGGCGGCAGTGAACCTGCGGTCTAGAGTATTTCATGGGGCACCGTCACTTTTGCAAGTCAACGGTAAACGAGAATGTGCGCTTCACTGTACAGTTCGTTCTCAATCACTCAGTGTCGATGGCGAAAAAGATGCAACCAGTCAGAACGAAGCGCCAACCCACATAGACTTCTTAATAACGTTCTATGCATTAAGGGGATTTGAAGCCGAGTGTGTGGTACTAGCAGATTGACTTTGACTGGGCCCGAGTTAGGAATCAACACCTACGCAGCTGCTCTTGCATTCAATCGCGGATTCACGTCGCGCTGACGTCTAGAATGTATAGGCCTCGAATCATCTGCTTATGAGCATATTCAACATCTTCCTTCATCAGTAAACAAAAGGCCGCCATTAGTATAGCACATATGCCATTTTTCAGATGATAGTGATCGAAGTGGCCAGAGTGAGATTCGGAAAGGGTCTATCCCCCATAAAGGCTGTTCGCGTAAGTTTTGAAAGAAAAAAAAGAAACATGAAAAAAAGAAAGGAACAATGAATGTGTCAAAGTAAACATTTTCAAACATTTTACAATATTGTTTAGCCACCAGTCGTGACTAACCTTCAGACTTGCAGCTAAAATACTACCGCTAAGGGTTTATTCAGTATCGCTATGGTTCTTCTCCCATTGATTACAGGTCAGACATGTTAAATTCCCACTAAATGTAAAATATCCGTGTGACATATATATATATATATATGTAATACGTTTTACACTTAAAATACGCTTTGAAACCTTGTGTCACGCTAAGACAAAATGTGCTTTCTCTACGCCATTTCCTTCCTCACGCTGAAAGCAGCGACGCGAGAGAGAAAGATAATAAACGTTTATTAAAGTACCATGGTCAAGGTTACAATGGACCAATCTGGTCAACCAGTCGCCAACGCTGAAGCAATGAATCGAGGCAACTTTAGTCTTTCTGAACGTACGACAATCTTGCTGGAACACTGCGCGTGTAGGGCACAACACGGCACGAGCCCTAGCATGCACGGCCGTCCGCCTCCTGTGAACTAAAGCTATGGCGGCTTCACGCATGCGCCACCGAACTATGGCCGAACGCTTAGTGAGATAGGTGAGGCTTTTTGACTGTCATAGATTCGTGCACAAAGCTAGGTTTCAATGACGCGGAAGAGAATGTCGCTAAATAGACAGGGGAAGGGAGCAAGCCGAGTTAGGGATGAGATTTTACGCGCTTGCGAATTGCCAACTTTGCCATTCGTCTGCGCTGAGATTGTTCCTCCAAGATGGTAGTCTGGCTCAGCGGGTAAGTAGAGCATTTATGCGGTATACGCTGCTACCTCGTGCGAAGTATTATGGCCCACGGCAAGATTAACGTTGCGAACACACATAATTCTTTGCCGTCCAAAAATGAGGCCGGCGCTTTCCGCGCTCGTGCTCTAGGCTATGCCTGTAAGTAGAGCATTGGGGGGAATTAAAAAAAAAAAAATGAAAACGAAATGGTTACGTTTGGCTGCAGTGGTGTCAGTAATTAAATTCTGAAAATGACAGGTGGCTGTACGCGCGATTACTTAGTAAGAAAACACAGTTGAGATTTATGTTTCCATTTGTTACTGAAAAGCACATGAAATACTTGCACTGTATATCTTATAGACCTGCCAATCGTACACGCCAGTTGGACAGCAGTGACGGGAAGTAATTGGTTCCGCGGTGTGCGCCGTATACCGATCAAAATCGCAGAAGTGAAAATTCTTTTCCGGAGTAAGTCGTTGCTACGAGGTACAATTAGAGGCGCGACGGAGCTCCGTGGTACGGGAGCAAAACGTGGGGACACTGGAAATCAAAGGTGCGATCGCCGTAGGCTGAGGTTAGCTGCCAGTAGTAATGCTATTAATCTTTGCACACTATTGCTCACATTCTCAAGCCGTTGAACGAGAATGTAGTATTGAACTTGGCGTCATAAACTTCACTTCCTGAACATCTCAATGACGCGAAGTCACAATAGTGAGAATGCAGAATAGTTATCGATGGTTTTATGCGGGAACGACAGAATACCCAAAAGCGTACCTCACGCCTGACTGACCGGGACTGTCCCGTGTCCTAAAAGAAGGTGTTAAGGCTAATACTTGGCTTCTAGTGACGTCACAGAAGCGGCCATTGTGGCGGCCTTGCTGCTTATCGCGTAAGTACCTTCTGCACGTACATGCGATGACGTCACGTGCAAGCCACGTATCCAGGCGCTCTTTCCGAAAGGCCCGGGGCCTCGCACTCATCAGTGAGAGAAGCGAGGCTCACCTGAAGAGGAGCGAGTTGTTCTGGCGGAAGCCCAGGAAGGGCACAGAGAAGGTGGCCACCCAGGCGTCGGTGACGGCGCAGTCGTAGTACGGCGCCGTCCACAGCCCGTCCCTGGCGGCCAGCTCGAGCCCGCTGGCCACATCCAGCACCGAGGTGCCGTAGCGCCGCAGCAGCCACTCGGTGTAGTTAGCCGCGGCGAGCCGCGAGAACCAGAGGCACTGGTCCAGGGAGTCCCCGTCGTAGCTGTAATTGCGATGGAAGGCGATGCCGCCGCCCCGCTGTCGGTACGCGAACACGCTGAGCGCGCTGGGGGTGTCCCGATGCCGCTGGAGCACGAGCACGCCGCTGCCCACGAGTCCGTCCTCACTGAGCACGTTCATGCGCGACAGCGTGTAATACAGGTCCTCGCCGTACACCAGCTCCGTGTCGTTCTGGATGCGCTCGGAGAGCGACGTGAGCAGGTTGGCCGTTCGCACGGCCGCCTGCACTTGCCGCTCGAACACGGCCGTAGTCCGGTTGCCCGGCCGCACCCCGAGCGGGGCCAGCGACGCCCTCGTGCACGTCGACGGCGTCCATGACTGCGACTCTTCGACGAGTTGGAGCGCGGCCGACGCGTTGCGCCGCTGCCGGACCAGGCGCAGCACGGGCTCGGACCAGAGCACCGCGCCGCCAGGCGCCGAGGACGTGGGGCCCCCACGAGCCCTGGACGCGGCTCCCAGGCCCGCTGTAGCCGGCTCGGTCGGGGCGGCCAGGAGCAGGACGCAGGCGCAGAGCAGGCGGCGTGGCGGGCCCATCAGGGCTCAGGCATGCGGGCGCGGGCTGGGCCCCATCGGCCACCAGAGCGGCTTCATGCCCGGGGCGGCCGGGCAGGACCACTGCGGGCAAGCACAATGAAGGGGAGCACCTCGTTAGAGCGATGTGCCTTTCCTTTTTTTTTTGGTACCCACGCGATGGCGGCGCAGAGGGTCGAATGTTCGAGAAAGCTGAAGTTTTAGTTCCATAAGGGATCAACTTTCTGTTGTCATTTCGTCGACGCTATGCACTCTTAGAAATTTAGAGCGCCTATACCTCCAAGCAAAACACCAATGAGTTTGCCAATCGTTGCAATCTACGGAGAGTTCAGCGATTGACGTGGCCAATGAGAAGTTAAAACCTTAGAAAAAAATACACCACCACCAAAAATGCGGTCTGCACCGTGGCACTAAACAAGGTGCCCGGTCTTGCTTAGTCCCCCTGCGCAGTCTTTTTTTCTGTCTCGTAACATACTGACAGCCTCGTCACTCAACGAGCTAGCTGCGTACATCGCAACGTTTGGCTCTCTTATGTGCTTTGCCAGAGAGAGGATGTCCCAGATTTCTAAGAAAGTGGTTCTCTCGGGAACCTTGGAAGTCGATCAAAGTCGTGGAAACGCACTTCTCACTTTTGTTTTAAGTGACGCAGATTATTGTCCCCGTGTGTAATAAAAGGCAAATCATCAGCTTTTCGGCACACTATGCGCCAACGTTAACTTAGTGACCGCACGCGTTCACACTCTGCTTCGATGCGGCGAGTCTTGTGTTCCCTTTCTTCGGGAGGTGTCATAACTTTGCGTGGACTCCCCATATGCTCATACTAAAACCCAGAAGAGAATGCACGTGATACGACACGGTTCCTTCATAAACGTTCCAAGACTGGCGTCGGTCCCGTTGTACCGACGGTGACGATTGATGACTATCAGTGGCTCTTCCCGTTGAATCGAGCAATACCGCAATGCGTAGGGACCAGTGTTTTTTTTTTTTGTCCCCTTTACTGAAAGAGGAACTACAAATTTTCCAAACTTCTCTCACTAGTTTTCACCAGAGCCGTGTATAAAGAGAGTTTGGCCATTCATAGGGAAGTATAGGAAGCAAATAAGGAGGCGCCATTGACCGAGAGCTGGCTGGGAGTGTTCCAGAGCGTCTTCGCATATTTGAATGTGGCCAGCCAGAGGCCGCGAATAATACCCTGGCGGTGGTCGACAGAAACAAAATTAATAAGTGCGTCAGAGTAACTCTCGGTAGCTGAAAATATGGTACACGTGATTTTCGATCACGGTCATGCAAAATCAAAATCTAGGAGTACGACCGACGTGATCCTTACGCCAGGCGCCGAGGGACAGGAAAATGTCGTCCGATCGGTCGAACTCCGACCGAGCGGAAGAGAGTAGAGTGACATATTCGGTTCTTACATCTGTTTGCAGGATCATAATCGAAACATCACATGCATTATATTTTCACACATGAAGAGTGATGCCCCATTGACACGGTCAGCATAAAGGTACCTTGAACATAGGTCCCTTTGCAATCGGCGAATCAGGCCGCGGTCTTGGTTCGCGAGAGCACGCCACGCGCTGAGGATCGTGAACTGAGGCCAGATTCTCAAAGCGAACTTACGACGAAAAAAAAATGCGTACGACAAATTTGAGAGGAAATCCGTATTCTCGAAACGAAATTGTCGTAACTTTTGCGCAGGTTACGACAGAATCCTACCACAGCTCCGAAGCTGTCTTACGCACTTTCTACGATCAAATTAACACGGCCGACAACGTCGCTCAGTTGCGCGGTCGCGACTACCAACGCACATTTATTTTTCTACCGGCTCTTCTTGTGCGTCCCGTCTTCAAGCAGCAAGAAAAAAAATGAAGAAGTGCTTGAAACCGACCACGACGAACATGAACGCTGGATCCACAGACACCCGGAAACGGCAACAAAGGCAACGATCCCACCGACCAAGCGAGCTCGGCAGAATATATAGGCCTAGCAGGCGCTCCGACCCGTTCCGGCGCAGCATTGCTCAGACGGTCCTTGCTCAAGACCGTCTGCCCACGACCGGCTGGCTTGCTGAATGGAATATGCCCGCGCGACCCTTGTGGACCCTCCCCGTATGAATAGTTTGATAGCTGAACTAAATTTCAGAGGTCAACCTATTCCCCTTATCATCTCGATCACTTTGTTTTCCGAGGCAGCGGTGACGAACGCTGTCGTCGAAAAGGGACTCCTCAATTCTATCTCCTTGTTTTCTGTGATATAGAGCTCAAATAAACGCCGTATGGATTACCTTCGCAACACGGTATGTACACTTTGTTATTAGTATGCCATTTTTTACTGTCGAGCTACATCAGTTTGTGGGAGCTACGCGATGCCGGTCCAACCTTTTTTTGCCGAGTGTATCGAGTTGCAATTGTAGAAGATTGGTCCAGAAGCGCTTACCGAAACGCAGTCTCAATCCAGCACTTCGATCAAACGCACGCGTCCGCTTCAAATGTGAACAGGTATTTGCGCGACTCTTGTTGACACTCTCGTAGTTCAAACGTATCTTTTTTAACGTCGGCTCACTCCTGCATTTCCGAGGCCGCGAGAAACGCCGCGGCAGTTTGTTTCCATCTACGTCGCTTTGCAAACGACTGGCACGGGGCTTTTACCAACGATGACAGTTGTGTTGACTTCGTAACGATCGAGTTTGTAGCAGTCAACGAAGCGTTTAAATCGTGTTAGCGTCAATATACCACTGCACGGACACGAACCCCAGACAAGCGGTGGTGGAAAGGCCAACCGTGTTTATGAGAATCAGCTTGAACACTAAACATTTACACACAGACAGGACAGGACATACACAGAGCTGTCTATCAACGAGTGGTTAGCCTGTGTTTGTTATTAAAAATCCACGTGCTCCGAACTATGCCTAGCTCTCTAATTGGTTGTTCATTTTGCCGAAGACGCCGTTGCCATAACAACAGCACCGGAAGTCATCGTTTCTCCGAAAGAGGTCGTAACTTTCCTCCTCTCACTTAAGAACGCGTTTGTGAATACCGTTCTCGCCTCAACTTACGATGATCGTAACTTTACGAACTTCGTAGCTAAGTTGTCGTAGGTAAGAGGTTTTTTTAAGAATCTGGCCTCTGACTCGCCGCAGAAAATAAAGGTCCCTTAGCTTAAGGAATACTTATGATCGTGTGAATGGGGTATTACTCCATTTAACTCTTACAAACTTATTAAAAATGTTTCCCTATACCACTGCTAGGGGATTATTTTTGACTTAGAGCGAGGGGTTTGGCGTGCAAGAGAGCACGTCAAACCTTCTATCTGCGTCTGGTGCACGCCCTGGCTCTGCCCGGTCCTTTAATCGAGCAAACCCTTTCTATACACGGCTCTGGTTTTCACTATGCTCCCTCACACTCCCTTAGCCATCGGTGCAGAGTCGGCGCGTCAGGCCCAAAAGCCCAATGCCACCCCCTCCCCCCCCCCCCTTTCCCTCCCTAAAAAAATAAATAAATAGAAATAGCAGAACACAAACTAGGATGCGAAAACAATTGATAAACAACTCTTAATTTATTAGAATTAAAGGAAATTGTCTGTTTATGAATAACGAAAAGTGGCGTGGTCAATCTGTGACGAATTGTGATTCAGCAGCAAATTTCACTCAACGGCGTTTAATGTTTAAAGCGTTTTTTTTTTTCTTTGAGACAGCGTTTTTTATTTGGGCAAAGGGCACGGGCGTCGTGTTTTTTTTTCTAAAGTGGGACTTTTTACATGGGGAAAAGACAGACAAGATTTTGAAGGTATGTGGAGTCAGTGCAATAATGAATGACTTGGAGCGTATACTTGGTTTCAGCTTATGTTCGGACGCAGCCAACGCAACGAGCTAATGGGGCCAAGTATGCAGCGTCAAAAACGCATGTCACTCGGCCGCTTTTGTTGATGATGGGTTGAGCGATATGATAGAACACGTACAGAAACAGGACGAACGCCATGATGGTGCCTTTTGGACTGTGTTTGATTGATCCGATCAGTTTGTAGCGTTGGCTGCGCCTGGAGTAAAGGTGAAACGAACCATAGAAACACGAAACAATTCAAGTGTACTTTTCGTTTTTAGGTTTTAGGAAGATGTGACGAGTTAGGTCACTACGTTACCCGTCTGTTCTAGGTAAGTAATGTAAGTACGTTACCCTTACGTTTTTACAAAGTAACGAGTACGTTACTACGTTACTGAAACAAAATACCAGTAACGATGTTACTTGTTACGTGTTTTGCCAACACTGGTATACAGATACTTAAATTTACATTTGAAAAATAAAATGGTAATAATATTATGTTAATAAATCTGACGTGCCTTGCTTCTAAATTTAAAAAAAAAAAAAACGACCCCGAATGCTCATGTTTACCGTTATCATCCCCTGCCTCCGGGCCTGAGCTTAGGGATTGAGGATATCAATTCCACTGAAGTTCGGTCTGAAATTTTATTCATCCCACATATCAATAATATATAATAATAATAATAATAATAATAATATAATAATATTAACCCTTGGGCGAGGGGAGGAAGGTTTCATCAGTGAACATACCCGAAGAGTCCATCAAGAAGCAAAATTTTTGTTGGCTCCATTGAGCTACAGTGGCCTATAGATTGCGTTCTTTATTCCTTATTCATAAGTTACCCCGCATTGCCCGAAGGCGTTACTGCAGGGGGGTTACAAACGTGAAAAAAACAATTCTTCGGTTGCAGAGCACACTTGTTCCTCCGACAGCTTGTTCCATTGTTGGATGGTCTTGACAAAAAAAGAATTAGCGTACATGTTTGTTCTGGCACGGTATTCTCGTATTTTAAAACAGTGATCGGTCCGGCTTGAAATATAGTGCGGTTGCTTTAGGTAATCGTCTTTGTTAATGCCCAGTCGACCATTAAATATTGAAAACAAAAATTTCAGTTTTAATTTGTTCCGTCGGGCTGAGAGTAATTCCCAATTTAATTCTCTTTTCATGTCAGTACAACTATCCTTTTGCCCATATCGTCCCAGAACAAACCTCGCTGCCCTATTTTGAATTTTTTCTAGTTTTTCAATTAGATACTTCTGCGCAGG